CAGGAGAAAAAAAACAGCTGGAGGCTGAATGAGCTAAGCAAATATTTCAGCTGTTGTCCACCGCAGGGGAGTCAATTTGGAGTCTGAGTCGTGCCAAGTTGGAGATCTTGGTAAACACTTCATTCTTTCCATTGAGATACCAGTAGGGTCACAATCTAAGAGTAAAGACTATGTGCTTGGGCTAAAGGATTTCCCTCCTAAGGCAAAGGGCAACTAGAAAGAGATCAACCATAAAAAAATGAATAATCAAGCCCCCCAAAGTTCAAATTGAACTAACCACTAGAACAAAACTCAACAATATTCAGACAAAGATAACAGAATCCAGCATGTCTACAATGTAGCATAACAATGTCTAGCATACAATTAAAAATTACTAGACATGTGCAAAAGAAAAGGAACCTGTCACCCATTGTGAAAAGAATAATGAATCATTAGAAACTTACCTACAAATGACCTAGATATTGGAATCAGTACAAAATGCTTTCTTTAAAAAAAAAAATCCTCACCCAAGGATATTCTGCCATTTAACTTCAGACAGAGTGGGAGGGGGAGAGAAAGAGGGAAGGAGGGAGAGAGAGAAACACCAATGTGAGAGAAACACATTGATTGGCTGCCTCCCACACAACCCTGACCAGGGCCAGGGACCAAACTGCAACTGAGGTACATGCCCTTGACTGGAATCAAACCTGCAACTCATGGGCCAACGTTCTAACCACTAAGCCAAACCGGCCAGGCAAGTACAGAATGTTTTAAAGTAGTTCATAAATATGTTAAAGGGTCTAAAATAAAAGACAGATATACTGAGTGAAGACAAAGAGAATCTCAGGAAAGATTTGGAAACAGTGAAAAAAAGCCAAATGGAAATCACAGGACAGAAAAGCACAATATCTGAAAGTTAAAAAGAAAAAAAGAAAAAAAAAAAAATCAATGGATGAAATTAATAGACTGGATACAATGAAATAAAATGGATCAGTGAACCTTGAATCACACAGAGGGGAAAAAAAAAGAATTTAAAAAAAGAAACACAGCCTCATCTTGGCTGGTTTGGCTCAGCAGTTAGAGTGTTAGCCTGCAGACCAAAGGGTCTCCTGTTTGATTACCGGTCAAGGGCACATTCCTGGATTGCAGGTTCGATTCCTGGCTGGGGTCATGCAAGAGGCAACGAATTAATATGTTTCTCTCACATTGATGTTTCTTTCTCTCTCTCTTCCTCCCTCCCTTCCACTCTAAAAAGAAAAATAAAATAAAATAAAAATAAACACAGCCTGAATAACCTCTGAGGCAGATCGAGCAATAATCTAACAACTGTAATTGGTGCCCAAAGAAATGCAAGACGGGGTTGAAAAACATATTTAAAGAAATATTTACAGAAATGTTTCCAAATTTGATTTCAAAACACACAAAAAAGAACAACATATTAGGAAGTACAGCAAACCTCAAGGTGGATAAATATGAAGAAAATCACAGCAAAGGACACCTAGAAAAAAACACATTATAAAAGCAGTCGATCACACTACATAAAGGGGAACAAAATAAGAAAGCCACCTGACTCATCACGGGAAACAATGGATGCCAGGAAACAACGGAATAACTTTTTTTTTTTTAATGCAGAAAGAAAAACATGCCATGCTAGAATTCTGTGTCCAGCAAAATTTCTCTTAAGATGAAGATGAAACAAACACACTTTCAGATAAAAGCTGAGATAATTTCTCACCAGCATACCTGCACTTCAAGAAACACTAAAAGAGATTTTCAGGAGGAAGAAAAATTGAAAGCAGTTGGACACTGAAGGTAAAAAGTAACACAAAGCACTGGGAATGGTCATTACGTAGGCGAATATATTTCATTTTAAAAGTCCACTGTTTAAAGCAAGAACAACAATGCATTGTGGGTTTACAATGTATGAAGCAAACATATAAAAACAACAGCACAGAGACTGAGTGTAAATTTGAATAATCTACTTTAGGTTCATACATTACACATTCATCTGTTATCCAGCTACAATGGATAAGCTGGGATATCCACTTCAATCTCTTGAGCAACTACTTAAAATATATATATAACAAAGTATGGCTCCTGATCAGCTCCAAGAATATCTCAGAGAAATTCTCTACCCTATGCCAGCACACTCATGGGGGAAGGGGAGTATATTTGGGGTACCTGAAGGTTGCCTATCCAGGGCTGGGCCTGAAGGACAAGATCACCTCTGTGGAGAAGATGAAGTCGCTTTGGAGACGTGGCTGTCACAGGTTCCTGGGTCCAGCCAGCCTCAACCTCACAGACTTGCCTCTAAGGGCCAGCCCCACCCGTGGTCCGTCTCTCTGTGGCTCCTAGTGTTGGCTCAGCGGTCAGGATCCCGTGCTCCCATGTGTCTGCCCTCACCGAACGCTTACCCTGCCACCCACCCTGCCTGCCCGTCTTGTCAGCACAAGGTCCTGTACTGTCTTTCGTATTGGGGCTCTGCAAAGACATGCTCAGCTCCGGGGGGCCCCACACTGCGCCCGTCATCTCTTCGTTTTCCTCCTCAGAGGCTAGCACAGTGTTGTGCGTGCAGGTCACGCTCAATTACATTAAATACTTTAACTAAAAACCACTCCTGTTCCCGAGCCTGGCGGTAGAGGGGCTCTCTCCAGAACGCGGCCAACATGGGGGGACAGTTGTGCAATGAGCACGGAGCAGACGCAGCGAGACCAAACACACTGTGTGCTTTCTCAGGAGTTCTTTTTTTTTTATCCTCACTCGAGGACTTTTTTTCCATTTTTTGTTCAGATAGAGTGGGAGGGAGAGAGAGGAAGAGAGAGAGAGAGAGACATCGACATGAAAGGGACACATCGAGTGGCTGCCACCCGCACGACCAACCAGGGCCGGGGACAAACTGCAACTGAGGTACGTGCCCCTAGCGGGAACCGAACCCGGGTCTCTCTCGACCGCAGGCCGACGCTCTAACCACTTAGCAAACCAGCCAGGGCTCTCAGGAGTTCTTCACTCCACAGTCCAAGCGCAGTGTGACCACCCGCCCGACTTGTGCCCTCCAAACAAGCATTCTCAAATGGTCACTGTCGTCACACCTTTGGGGACCTTGTTATAGTGCAGATTCTGACTCGGGGGGCGTGGGGCTGGACTGGGGGCTAGGAGTCTGCGCTTCCAACAGCTCCCAGATGACACCAGTGTTTCCCGGCCGGGGACCTCGGGAACAAGGCTCAGACAACCCCAAAGGTGGGCTCTACTCTTCACTCAGAGCAACAGAAATCATTTCTACTTTGCCTCCGAGTTTCAGCGGGAGGGACAGAGTGGCTCAGGGGCTCCCTGCGGACTCAGCCCTGTGTCAACGCCCTTCACATAGAGCATGTGACCCCACTGTCACAACAGGTCTGGGGAGGTGGCCGCGTTTCCCCCACGGCGGGAGGAACCTGGGCTCAGAGAGGTTACTTCTGTTGTCCAAGGACACACAGCCAGAGTGGTGGGAAGGAGACTGGCACTAGTCAGTGTCTTCACTCACCGAAAGCTCCGGGGAGAAAGGACACAACCCGTGTCAGAGAACTCTCGTGAGAGCAAGGCTTGGGCCCTGGCCGGTTTGGCTCAGCGGTTAGAGCGTCGGCCTGCGGTCCAGAGAGACCTGGGTTCGGTTCCCGCTAAGGGCACGTACCTCAGTTGCAGTTTGTCCCCGGCCCTGGTTGGTCGTGTGAGTGGCGGCCACTCGATGTGTCCCTTTCATGTTGATGTTTCTCTCTCTCTCTCTCTCTCTCTCTTCCTCTCTCTCCCTCCCACTCTATCTGAACAAAAAATGGGAAAATACCTCAGGTGAGGATTAAAAAAAAAAAAGAAAGAGCAAGGCTTGGCGAGGGTCCTGTCTGTTCTACGGGACACGCCCTTGGCAGGATGCTGTCATAGCATGAAAAAATCTGGCCACTTCAGAGATTTCCAAAGGAAAGAAAAAAAAAAGGGCAGGCAGAATCCTAATTAAGTCAACAATGGGTACCCCCTTTTCAAATCTCACCTTCTCCAAGGAGTGGGTGATGCGGGGAACCCGGGCCCCTCCTCCTCACCTGGCGCTGCTCCTAGGAGGGCTGGGGGAGGGGGGAGTCCCTGGGCAAATGGCACCCCAGCATGGAGCGGTTTCAAGCTGAGAGACGGGGGGTGGGGGCGGCAGTGCCCCAGGTTCACGCGGACCCGCTGAGAACCACTCACGCCCGCAGCACGCACCTGCTTGATTCCCAGCTCAGCCACCTGCACCCAATAGGCTCTGCGGGGCCCTGGCTGCTAGTCGGCCGGTGTGGGCTGCCAACCCCCAGGCGTGGGTGGGGACAGGCGGACCTGCCTCTGGCGCTACAGCCCCATTCGAGCAAGGGAAGCTCGAGTCACAGTGAGAAGCCGAGCGACAGAGAGAGGCCGCCGGGCTCAGGCTCCTCACGGGGACCTGGAGAGCTGAACCCCTCCGGTGAAGGAGACGGGGCAGCTAGATTCGGGGAGCACTTCATGAAGCCACAGTCACGGGTGGACTGAGCCAAACGGAGAGGCGGGAGAGGCTTTGGGGGCGTGGACTGCAAGCCCGGGCCTGTCTGGGGGACTCTGCGACACAAGTCCTCTGGTAGAGCTGAGGGCCAGGGGCAGAAGTGGGTGGCGGGCAGGAGGGGAGTCGGGACCAAGGAGAGGCTTGGAGACAAAGCTGGGACAGTGACAGGACAGCGAGCAGGAGGGGACCCACGAGGCTTTGGAGAAGGCTGGTTGATGGTGGTGACTCAGCGACCGGACCAGCAGACAGAAGTACAACGGAAGGTGCCCTTCTGGTGGTTTTCCAGGCAAAACGGAGCAATTCCTCGGCCCTCAGGCCCCGTCCCTGGGGGCAGCCTGGCTGCAGCTCAGGAGACACGAGGCTCCGTGCCCAGGGGTCTGGCCCCAGGCCGAGGCCAAGGAAGGTGAAGCTGCTGCAACTGGCAGAACGGGTGGCCCTGGCGCCCTGCCCGCCCCGCAGCTCCCAGGCTGCCCGCCCCGGGCCTTACCTCCTATCTTCGCATTGTACGCGATGCCCACGATGCAGTAGGAGTTGTTGGCCGAGGCGGCGACCTCTCCTGCGCAACGCGTGCCGTGCCTGAAACGGGAAACAGAGTGAGGACGCAGCCAGCACCTCCAGGGAGCTCGGTGCACTGCCCAGGGCTCAGGGCTCAGGGCTCAGGGAGAAGGGCCCGTGGTCCAGTCCAGTGAGTTCGGTGCACTGCTCAGGGCCCAGGGCTCGTCATCTCCACTCCAGGGAGCTCGGGGCACTGCTCAGGGCTCAGGGCTCAGGGAGAAGGGAGAAGGGCCCGTCGTCCACTCCAGTGAGCTCGGTGCACTGCCCAGGGCTCAGGGCTCAGGGAGAAGGGCCCGCCATCTCCATGCCCAGGAATGACCCGAAAGCTTGTTTGCGGTTTCTCCTGTCCTCACGACCCTGGGAGCGAGCATCACGCCAGGCCTTGCACAGCCCCGGGCAGCCCTGTCCCCCACACCTGCAGGCTGACGAGGCCTCCCTGCCACCTTGGAAATGGTGCGCGCTTGCTCAGGGGCTGTCTCCCGACGCCCACGTCCGGGGGGGCTGCTGCCCCTGGGCCTGTGCCCCATGCCCACACTGTGCCTGGCGCGCTGCCTGGCACCGACAGCCGAGTGGCCGCAGCTGCCAGGATGGAAGACAGAACAAAACGAGCCCCGATGTCTCGTGCCCGGTGTACCTGCCGCCCCCACGCTCACCCCGGACAGCTCCCCCACCATCATTTCCACGCCGTTTAAGCAAGAGCTGGAGGAAAAAGCACTTTCCATCGAGCGCCCCACAGAACGGGGGGAACGATGAAGAAATCGCCAGAAAAACAAATTGCTCTCCTCAGTAATGACCCCATTATCCATTGTGCTGCCCAGGGTCAATTTCTCCAGCCAGGGCCAAAATGTGGGCAGGTTTCAACAGCACCTCTTTGAGAAGCGTCCACAGGGGATTAGAATCACTGATGGAAATCTAAAACCACCTTTAAAAATAGCCCCGGGGCTGCGTGTCCTGGAAGGGAGTCATCCATCCTCAGAACCCAGGCTGCCCCTGGCCAGGGCTGCCCACGCGTCACAGAGCTCGGCGTCTCACCCGGGACTAAGCCTGCCCTTCAAGGGTCACTGCACGGTTTCTGGATCACTCCTCCTGGCCCTGTGGACGTGTGGCTGGGAAACGAGGCGCCCCGCACCCCACTGCTGAGCCGGAAGGGCACCTTGGGACGTGAGGCAGGGACAGAGCGCCGGGTGCGGCCTCTCTGGGCCCCGCTGCCTGTGGTGTGGGCCGCGTCAGCCGGCCAGACCCCTACACAGCGCCGTGTGGCCCCAGCACCCACACCTCAGCATCGGGTCAACTGACAAGTGAAATATGACGTTGGTCGCACACATCTTGGCCAGCGTCATGTCGACAGCGGGAAGAAAGAAAGAAGGCTTTTCTTCTTTTTCTGTAAATATTTTTGGAAGAATGCTGAGCTCAGGGTACGGGACATGCTCACAGAGAAAGGACACAGCAAATAAAGTCCCCAGGGCCACCACGGACAGTGCCCCGGTCACCTGATCTCTCCCGACGCCACCACCTTCAGCTGCAAAGGGATGAGACAACCCTGATGACAGAGCACCCCCCCCCCTCGGTGTGTCATCTGCCCTCTCCCTGCTCCCCCTGGCCCTGGAGGTCGGCAGCAACCTGTCCCCGGGAAAGTTTCTGAGACACAGAGACTCAATAAAGGGACGCAACTCACCCGCCAGCGTGGTGGGTCTGGGATTTGAACCCAGGGTTTTCCAACACCAATCCTGCCCCTTCTGCCTCCCTCACCAGGTCAGAGTCCAAAAATCTCCGGCACGTGACCGGTGCTCAAACAGGCCGGACTGGTGTCTTACCTCAGCCCCATGGAGGCCACTGGATGTCAGGGTTATTCTTTTAAAACATTCTGACAGCTCTGGCCGGTTTGGCTCAGCGGTTAGAGCGTTGGTCCACAGACCAAAGAGTTGCGGGTTCGATTCCGGCCAAGGGCACGTACCTCGGTTGCAGTTCGTCCCCGGCCCTGGTCGGGGTGGTGCGGGAGGCAACCAGGCAAGTGTCCCTCTCACATCGATGTTTCTCTCTCTCTCCCTCTCCCTCCTGCTCTATCTGAAGATAAAGAGAAAAATATCCTTGGGTGAGGATTAAAAAAAAAATCCCTTCTGACAAGGTTTGAAACAAAGCCAACTGGGTCAAAGATCCATTTCTGGCTACTCCTAAGGGGGAGGCTACATTCACAGAGGCTGCCCGGCCTGGCTCCTGGGTGAACCTGACACGAGCCAGGCAGCCTGTCACCGTCTGTGTCCCCTCTCAGTGTGTCTCTGCAGGGAGCGGGGCGGGGAAGCCAGGAGCGTGCAGGACCTACTTGTTCTCATTGCTCGCGTCGTATCGTGGAGAAGGGTCGTAGTCATTTCCATTGACGTCGTAGCTTGCATAGGAGTCCTAAGAAACGAAAGCTCAGTGAGCGAGACACAGACAAGAGCACCCGGTCCACGCTCACATCACACCCGCTGGGAAGCAGACAGGAGCGGGCACCTGGCCTCCGTCCCTGTAACTGTCACTGTACAGATGCTTCCTTTGCTGTTTTACTTCTTGACTGAAGGTATTGGCGTGGCATCGGTTAATAAAATCATATAGGTTTCAGGTGTGCAGTCCTATAATACAGCGTCTACGTATTGTATCTTGTACGTGTTTTCCTTGTGCAAAAACACAGTTTACCATCCTAAGCATTTTTAAGTGCAGTTCTGTGACGCGGAGTTCATTCACTCAGCTGTGCGGCCATCGCCACCGACCGTCATCCACCCACAGGACTGTTTTCATCTTGTGAACCTGAAACTGCACCATTAAACGCTAACTGTGCCCCCCACCCCAGCCCCTGCCCCCCACTATTTGTTGTTCTGTCTTTGTGCACGTGACTCTCCACAAGCCTCGGACACGTGGACTCGGACAGGATCTGTCCTTTTGTGACTGGATTGTTTCACTTAACACGACGCCCTCAAGTCTCGCCCAGGGGTCAGAACTTCCTTGATCTTATATTTTTAATATACGTGTTTTTGTTTCTATACATGTAATCATCATATTCCTATGACGTCACATCTTCCATTTAAAACACATCACAAAAGCCCTCTGGTGGTATTGACGGAACCTTCCAAACTGCTATTTTTAAGGGCTGCCCAACTGTCTATCAAAAGGATCTGATGTGATTGAATGTTGTTAGGCACCCAGGTTCCTTAGAATATTGAAAGCACTTGTTACATTTACTATGTGCCAAGTTCTCTTCTTCACGTTTAAGAACCCACTGAATCCGCACAATAACCCCTGGAGATGTTAGTGCCATCATTCACTTCGTTTTATAGACCGTGACACGGAGGCACAGGGAAGCTAACTAGTAGGGACCCAGACCCCATGTTTTGACTCTGTCATTTTTTATGTTGTTAATGTGGGTCTGATATGTGTCTGAGTTCTTTAGCTTCCAGTCCTAGAAGTACGTGTGACTCCTCAAACATGTGGACAAATCCCTGTGCTCAAACTCTGCCTGGCTGCAGGACCCAGCGACAGAGGGCGGCCAGTGACAGAGGGCGGCCGGCGACAGAGGGCGGCCGGTGACAGAGGGCGGCCAGCGACAGAGGGCGGCCGGCGACAGAGGGCAGCCAGTGAACGTTTGTTTCACCAACTCCCACAACCATGATTTTCTGTACTAACTTAATAAGGGGGGAAATTCACCTTGTTTTCCAAATTTGCACAGTTGATTCCTGAACAATGGGGGGGGGGGGAGACTAGGGGCACTGACCCCATGCAGCTGAAAAATCCATGTATTATTTACTTATTTATTTACTTATTAATATCCTCACCCGAGGACATTTTTGCATTTATTTTCAGAGCAGGAGGGAGGGAGGGGGGAAGAGAGAGAGAGAAACATCAATGTGAGAGAAACACATCGACTGGTTGCCACCCACATGACCCAACCAGGGCCGGGGACAAGCTGCAACTGAGGTACATGCCCTTAGCAGAACCGAACCCGGGTCTCTCTGGTTCGTAGGCCGATGCTCTAACCACTGACCCAAACAGGCCAGGGCCATGTATTACTTTTGATTTCCCCAAAAACTGAATTACTAACAGCCTACTGTTACCCGGAAGCCTTCCCGATAACATAGTCAATTAACACATATTTTATATGCTATATGTATTAGATGCTGTATTCCTACAATAAAGTAAGCCAAAGAAAGTTAAGAAAAAATACGATGATAGTATTTATTAAGGGGAAAAAATTCGTGCCTAAGGGGACCTGCACAGTCCAATCCGTGTTGTGCTTATTTATTTATTTATTTTTTTATCCTCACCCGAGGACATTTTTCCATTTTTTTGTTCAGACAGAGTGGGCGGGTGGGAGAGAGAGGAAGAGAGAGAGAGAGAAACATCGACGTGAAAGGGACACATCGAGTGGCTGCCACCCGCACGACCAACCAGGGCCGGGGACAAACTGCAACCGAGGTACGTGCCCTTAGCGGGAACCGAACCCGGGTCTCTCTGGACCTCAGGCCGACACTCTAACCGCTGAGCCAAACCGGCCAGGGCCCGTGTTGCGCTTATTTAATGCCGAGAGTGGCCGGCACGTCATTTCTGAGGCCTCACTTACGTAATTCGGGGCCAGGTCGGGGTGATTCCTCTCGATGCCGTCATCCAGGATGGTGACCACCACGTTCCTCCCCGTGTAGCCTCTCTTCCACGCCGCCTGCACGTTCATCTCCGATCGGCAGCGGCTGTTCTTGTCCCCACAGTGCTGTACGCACAGAAACACACAGACGCTTGACCCAGAACAGACGAGGGCGCCCCCCGTTGGCTCCGACGCTCGCAAGCAGGTGGGGAGGCAACACCCTTGCACCTTCCAGAGCAGAGACGCTCCTTCGCCCTGGTTTCTGGGAGTCAGCACAGGGGGCGCCATGGGCTTTTCTGTCCCTGCAACCTGTCGTCTTCCTAGGACAGCAGCTGCCTTGGGGCCTCTGTGCAGGGCTCATCGCCCCCACTGGACCAGCCTAGCAGTCTCCCTGCTCAGTGAGCCCCCTGGGACTTCCATACACGTTCAAAAAGAATTCACAAGAAATCTTGGGCTGCCCCGCGTGAAGGAAGGGTTTACCCTCAAGATCCAGTGTGTCTGTTTGGAGTTACTGGGAGAACTGAGCCCCGTGGGGGGAAATCAGCCCATCCCGGACACAGCGCCACCGCAAATGCTGGGGACAGAGGCCGCGCCCACTCACCATGTACCACATGTTGGACCAAATGGGGTCGTTGAAGTAAAGGGCCTGGGGGTCGCCCCGTGCCTGTCTCTTCACCCTGCGCTTCACCTCTTGTTGCTGAAGCCATTTCACCTACGGGGGAAACGCAGTTGTGATTTATTTGAAAAGCCCAATCCTGGCTGTGTGCGGCCTTCTCCATAGGAGCTCCGGTGTCTTTCTTGTGAATATCTGTGTCATTTTAGATGTCTTCGATGGTAAGTTACAAGGAGGAGGGGAGAGAGAGGCATCAGTGTGAGAAAGACACATCGACTGGCTGCTTCCGGGGCCGGGGATCGAACCTGCAACCCAGGTATGTGTCCTTGATGGGGAACCGAATCTGAGACCCTTCAGTCCACAGGCCAATGTTCTAACCACTGAACAACTGGCCAGGGCCAAGGAGACCTTTTCATTTCCAAGTCGCCACAGTTGAGAAATGAAAACGTCTGGCTACGTGGAGGGGAGACAGTAGCACTCTGATAGACTCTGAGGTCATCCCACGAAAAAGAATGAAGACCCAGCGACACTGCCAACTGTCTGGTTGACCCTTGTCACCAGAATGAAAAGAACACACGTGTACTGGGCTGGAAACGTAAGAGAGAAGAGAAATGGGTCCCATGCTGCTCAGAACTCAGAAGCAAGATGTTACAGCGAGTGAGCAACTTCGATAATCCATGTATTGCCGCTTCTAGCGGCCTCTGGGAACATGATCCCCAAACACGCACAGAGAAAAGTCTCGAAAGGGGTACAGCAAAGTATTAACAGCAGCCTTTGCCTGAAGGTGACATGACTACTCATTTAAAATGGAAAAATTAGCCCGGCCAGTGTGGCTCAGTGGTTGAGCGTCGACCCTGCACCAAGTGGTCACCAGTTCGATTCCCGGTCAGGGCACAATGCCCAGGTTGTGGGCCTGATCCCCAGTGGGGGGCATGCAGGAGGCGATCAATTGATGTTTTTTCTCTCTCTCCCTCTCCCTTCCTCCCTCTCTCTCTAAAATCAACAAAGAATAAATAAATAAATAAAATAAAATGGAAAAATTATTCGCAGGGTTTGATGCATTTCTGCCGATCGGCACGGTCTGCCTTCACAGCCAAGGGCAAAAGTCAGACCGGTGGAGTAAGTGATTTTTCAGAGCAGGGATCCCAGAGCCGAGCTGCCTGGGTTCAAGTCCCAGCTTCAACCTCTCCGGCCTCAGTCTGCTCGTCTGCACAATGGGTCGCCGTGGGCTGTCAGGAGGTGGCACTGGGATACGGACTGGTATATGCAGTAAGAGCTCACATCAGTGCCTGGCACACGGCTGCACTGTGTGTATGTGTGAGAGAGAGAGACAGAGACAGAGAGAGAGAGAGACAGAGAGAGAGAGAGAGAGACAGAGAGAGAGAGAGAGACAGAGAGAGAGAGAGGGAATTTCAAGCTGGAAGACTTTCCTCTACTTTTAAAAAAAGGTCAGAGGAAAAAGAACTCCCACATCAAGACATTGTTTGGGTCCTGCTGCCGTGGTCACACCTGAGTCACTACCTTCCCCCCGGGGCCCAGCCTGAGGCTAGAACTGAGCTTCTCAGGATGAGGGCTCCTGGGCCCTGCTCTCAAGTTGGTGCCTGGTGGGGGCCCCAGCAGGCAGCCCAGAGCGTGAAGCAGCCTCTGAGAAGGGGCCCCGGGTGGGGAGGTGGAGGGAGGAGAGGGGCACAGGAGCCTCAAGGGTGGGGCCGCCCAAGGCGGGCGAGCCCAGACCAAGCCCGGAGGCCCTAACAGCCGGGTGGGGGCCACCTGAGCAGCTCCTGCAGGACCTGAAGCTTCTACAGCTTTCTCGCCTCCCTACTGTCCCGAGGCCGGACAGCCAGACAGCCCAGACACAGCCTCACACTGAACGGTGGGACTGACTCCAATGGCATCTTCGGTCTTCGGAGGGACAAAGTGCTTAGAAAGAAGTATCGCAGCCTGTCCCGCCACCAGTGTGTCTAGAAGACACCAGGAGATTGAGTCCCTTAGACACACCCCAAAGAGCTCAAAAGCCATGTTGGGCCCTGGCCAGTTTGGCTCAGCGGTTGGAGCATCGGCTCGCAGACCAGAGTCTCGGGTGCAGTTCCTGGGGGACACACAGGACTTGGGCGAGGTGAGGTTGACAGGAGGTGGGACAAGCGTGGAGTGACGGGTGCTGCTGTTGACGTCACAGGGCAGAGGTGGGGCCAGGGGTGCGTCCGGCTGGCACGTGTGACTCAGAGATGGCATCTAACCGGACGTGCCAACCCTGCCCCGTGAAATAACAAAGCACCACCTTCTACAGCCTGTTCCAGAACTCACTCTCTCCCAATTCCTCGCAGCCACTGTTCTGCTCGATGCTGCTGGGGGTGCTGACGGGGTAGAGAGGCAGCTGGGAACCTCTCCTGTCCCCACGCGAGCCGGCCGCCTCTGCCCCCAGCCGGGACAGTTCATCAACCCCAAGCGCAATCTGGTCACTTTCGGTCCCCGCGCCTGGCTTGCCAGGAACTTTCTGTTCATTTGCACTTCACGTGGTCCTAGCCCACGAAACTGTCAGATAAAATTCCATCTGTGGTGAATGGAAGGATCCCTTTCCATGTTGCATCACTGCTGGGAAGAAACCTGAGCTCTGATAAGCCTCCGGAGGCAAAGTCCCCTCCGATGCAACAGAACGCCGGCTGGGGCCCTGCAAACCGTTGTCCGGCCTCGGGGAAGGAGCTCGCTCAATCGGGGCCGCGAGCTGAAGGCTCCACGGCCCGGAGGACCACCGAGGGCCCGCCTAATAACATCTTTATCTTTCTATTTCTGTCATCAGTCTGGCGGAGGACCGAAGGGCGGGGCAGGGCTGAACCAGAGTCATCCAAGTAAAATGTAAGGGCTGGAAGACGCAGGCAGCAACCCCGGACCGTAGGCCAGCTTGGAACGCCACCAGAACAAGTCATTTACAAAACATTTCGGAGCCCGTACAGCCATTGGCTGGGGCTTCCGTAACATCCACCCTGCTCCAGACTTTTGGCCAAAGAACAAGTTAAAAACAAATGCTTTCAGTTTGCCTAAATGACAACCTTTGGAAAAACCCAGTGTCTGATACTGCGCGCTCAGAACAGCCGGCCGTTCCCCCAAGCACGGGGCTGAGCCAGACAGCGCTTGAGCAGAATGGCCTGTTTTTTTGTGTGTGTGTGTGTTTTTTTTAACCGAAATGGTAAAAACAAACAAACAAACAAACAAGGAAAAGTGATTAAGAATGGAAGCAGAGACTGGCCGGTGTGGCTCAGTGGTTGAGCGTCGACCGTGCACCAAGAAGTCACCGGTTTGATTCCCGGTCAGGGCACATGTCCAGGTTGTGGGCCTGATCCCCAGCGGGGGGCGTGCAGGAGGCGGCCAGTTGATGTTCTCTCTCCTCGATGTTTCTCTCTCTCTCTCCCTTCTTCTCTAAAATCAATAAAGAAAAATTATTTTTTACAAAAAGAAGGAGAACCTGTGCAGTTTCGAGACAGGATCAGCACAGAAAGATGCTACATAAAGGTCTGTGTGACTACAGCATCTGAAACCCCCCTTCACCCCTTCTGTTTTAACAAATGGACTCTCTATCAGTGTTTATGGGAGGTAGGGGTGGGAGGTAAATTCCATCCCTTATCAAGACACTTTCCTACAGCGGGGACTGGAGCTAATTAAGATGAAATGCTGTCCGCATCCTCTGGACTTCATCCTCAGCCCGATGACATACGTTTCCAGCCCGGTCATTCCAACACGGCGGCGGCCCGGCGTTCCAAAGTCTCTCAATAATATTAAATCATCTTTTCCTTCTCATAATCCTATTAATGACACAGCTCTCCAAAGGCTAAGTTGTTGCAAAAAAAAAAAAAAAAGGCTTTGCTAATGTGGGAAAACATCCTGGTGTAAGAGGAGATAATACTAAATACTTCTCTGTGAAAGAGCTAATTTTGCCCAGTATTTAATCAGAACAATGAGGCAGAGTAAATATTAGTCAGACCGAGGCTAATTGATTTGGTCAAATTAAAACCAGGCTGATTTAGCCGTGGCCGGTGTGGTGAGAGAGCCAGTCCGAGAACTGAAGGGGTTTGAGTCCCAGTCCAGGGCACGTATCTGGGTTGCAGGTTCGATCCCCGGCCCAGGTTGGGGCGCATGCGGGAGGCAACCGATCGATGTGTCTCTCACACTGATGTGGGTCTAAAACAGAATCACTGAAACAGAGGATGTCTACAGATCACAGGGTAAGCCTCCGACTGCGACTCCACATTGGTTCTAAGAGCTTAATTGTCTGAACCCCCAGGATTTTCTCATCACATGCCTACGTTGGGGGACAGCCCCCCCCCCCCCGCCATGCAAACAGCTGGTCCCTCATTGCAACTCTCTGTGTGGTAATAATTTAAAACTTTGGAGACTCCAGATGCAGGACACGCCTGTCATCCTCACCAGACAGCTCACTCTCGCTCACGTTGAAAGGAGGGAGGACAGCCCTGGCCGGTTTGGCTCAGCGGTTGGGGCGTCGGCCTGCGGTCCAGAGAGACCCGGGTTCGGTTCCCGCTAAGGGCATGTACCTTGGTTGCAGTTTGTCCCCGGCCCTGGTCGGTCGTGTGGGTGGCAGCCACTCGATGTGTCGCTTTCACGTCGATGTTTCTCTCTCTCTCTCTCTCCCTCCCACTCTATCTGAACAAAATATCAAAAAATGTCCTCGGGTGATGATAAAAAATAAATTAAAAAAAAGAAAGAAAGGAAGGAGGGAGGGCATTGCAGCAACCCCCTTCTGGAAGGGTCTCCCTCCTTGACAGACGAGAGCCCCCTGTGCACCTCAGCCCCCGCCCTGCAGCCTCCAGGATCCCAGGTTCTGTGCTGATCTGTCTGTGTACCCCTCTGCACAGTGTACCCCTCCTCTCGGTGGTCACAGGCATCGGGTCTGCACGCCGTTCTCCAGGGGTCCCCTTCTGTGCAAATGACCAATGACAATCTGGCTTTGCTTCCGAGAGCAAAAATAAAACAATTCCAGTCCCTCTGAAAAACATGCCTTAAGGTCCCACAAAATGAACCCACGTAGGTGTGACCACAGCCTTGCGTGATCAGGTGAGACGAGTCATGTGCAAGTGCCCACGCACGTAGCGACCCCTTAACAAATGTCCAGTTCCTTTCCTTGCTATGAAGGAATAATGACATTAGCGTAATGTTTGAAATCGATCTCCTTTTATCTCTCTTCCCACCCACCACCCACCCACCACCAACCGTCTGCCTCGCCTCGGCCCAATTCCACGAATGCGTTCCCTGGGACCACGTCCTCGTGGGTTGAAATCAGAACCACACAGCGAAGCTCTGGACATGGGTGTTTCAAGAACAGTGTCCAGGGACAAAGTCTCTCCCGCCCGCCCCCAGCTCGGTGGACACGAAAGGAGTCAGCGGGGTGGCCGGGACAACACCAGGCACCCGTTGCCCAGGAAACGTTAGGACGTGTGTTCTATGGGGAGAGCTGAACCAGCAGCTTGTCAGCCCGACAGCCCACGGCTTCCAGAGAAGGCGATTCCCACGCCCCAAGACGACGGCGTATGAATGGCTACATCTCATGGCTGGGCTTGCTCCGATTCTCTCGTGACCTTCATTTCCTGCCACAGCCCTCATCACCTGCGCTCTAGAACCAATGCGTTTCCTATTTCATGCCTCGTTTTCTATCGCTCCCACTCCTGCCAAGACCCTGCTGTGGAAGGTGTTCCAAAAGCACCTGTCGAATGAAGACATCATCAAGGCCCACTTAGCCATCTTAATTTCTTTTAATGTTTTTATTGATTTTAGCGAGAGAGTGAGAGAGAGAGAAACATCTATTGGTTGCTTCTCATTGCACCCTGACCAGGGACTGAACCTGTAACTGGGCATGTGCCCTGATGGGAACAGAACCGGTGACCTTCCGGTGCACGGGATGACGCCCACCCAACCGAACACGTTGGCCTGGGCCAGCTTAAAATTTTAATCTTACTGAGTATCTGTTGACTGATATTTGTCAAATAGTAGTCTCAAATCTATTCAGTAAGGACACTCAATGAACCACCCAATAGATAGAAATTGTATTGAAAATTAAAACGTGAGCCTCTTTTCAAATTACATGTGATTTTTTATCTCAAAGATGACAGGGACTTTTTAAGGGAGGAAAAACAAGTTGTCTTTACTGCCCAAATTTTAAAATTCATTGAACTTCGTAAATAAGCATTATGATAACCGCAAAAACATCCATTGGCCCAATCTCTAATTCATTATTAAAATACTCGCTTGAATTGCCTCATCTTTTGCCTTTATGGGCAAGAGTCACCTACTTATCTAATTTTATAATTACTGTGCATGTTGTTGATTTTTATTTTTTTTATTAGTATTATTTTTTATCCTCACCTGAGGACATTTTTTCATTTTTTATTCAGATAGAGTAGGAGAGAGAGAGAGAGAGAGAGAGAGAGAGAGAGAGAGAAACAATGACGTGAAAGGGACACATCGAGTGGCTGCCACCTGCACGACCCAACCAGGGCCGGGGACAAACTACAACTGAGGTACATGCCCTTAGCGGGAACCGAACCCGGGTCTCTCTGGACCGCAGGCCGACGCTCTAACCGCTGAGCCAAACCGGCCAGGGCACATGTTGTTGACTTTTATTTATTTATTTTTTTTATTTTTATTTTTTTTATCCTCACCCGAGGATATTTTTCCATTTTTTTGTACAGATAGAGTGGGAGGGATAGAGAGGAAGGGAGAGAGAGACAGAAACATCGATGTGAAGGGACACATCAAGTGGCTGCCACCCGCACGACCAACCAGGGCCGGAGACAAACTGCAACCGAAGTACATGCCCTTAGCGGGAACCGAACCCGGGTCTCTCCAGACCGCAGGCTGACGCTCTAACCGCTGAGCCAAACCGGCCAGGGCACATGTTGTTGACTTTTAAATTAAATTAAACGTGACTTGATTTTTTCCCATCACCGTTTATCCCTCTATGCCGTCTTCCACCTCCACCGCCCCACAATCACCACACTGCTGTCCATGTCCATGAGTTCTCTCTGTTTTGTTTGTTTGTTTTTAAATCCTCACCCGAGGACACTTTTTTTCCATCTATCTTCAGAGAGTGGCAGGGAGGGAGGAGAGAGAGAGAGAGAGAAACATCAATGTGAGAGAGACACATCGTTGGTCGCCTCCCACATGACCCCGACCAGGGCTGGAGACTGAACCACAACTGAGGTACTGGAATAGAACTTGTGACTCTTTGGTCCAAGGGCCAACACTCTAACTGCTGAGCCAAACCGGCCAGGGCTACTGTTGGTTTTTAAGCATTTAAAATATCAATAAATCGACACTCGTTCGATTGTTGCTTCACCCTATAATCAAGAATTTCAATTCTCAAGTCTGACAAGAGATCCAAACATTTGGAACATCCAGATGGTCCGATATGTACCTACACGTCGGTCTTGTTTTGCTCAGAGAATATGGAAAACTAACAGCTATCGAGAATCCCATTCAATCCCAACTCTGCTGCTTCTAAAACCACAGGGCCCGAGAAAAAACCCACACTCCAGGCGTGTGTCCTGCCAGGGAGCAGGGACTGTACCTGGGGGTCCATTCTGAGGAAGGTGTGAGGGCCCCTGCTGCTCAGGGTGGATCTTTTGAAGGTCTTGCTGTGATAGAAGTGGTAGTAATTCTCCAGGTTTCCGATCTGCAAGACAAGAAACAGGATGGCGTTCGTTAAGACCGCCCTACAAACAGCCCAGAAGATTTGCTCCATCAAACCTCAACATTTGTACTGTCTTGGCCAAGATTTTTATTTATTTATTAATTTTTTCTTTATTGATTTGAGAGAGAGAGGGAGAGAGAGAGAGATGGAAACATCGATGAGAGAGAACACAGATTGGCCGCCTCCTGCACGCCCCCCACTGGGGATCGGGTCCACAACTTGAGCATGTGCCCTGACCGGGAATCGAACTGGTGACCTCTTGGCGCATGGGTCAACGCTCAACCACTGAGCCACACCGGCCGGGCTTGGCTAAGATTTTTAGACACGAATTAAAAAACAACAACATTTAGGGTCAAGCATCCCTGAAGTAGCTAAGTTAGTGTCATGTCAGGTCTACACCAAAATATTCGTGTATAAACAATCTCCACCCCATGGATAAACTGAATGTTTAAGAATGAACATCCGTGCTCAAATGCAACAAGGAAGCCAAAGAAAGCACATGGGTCCATCTACTCGGGCTGATGCAGAGTCATCTGAGACTATTCTACCCCCCAGGGTGTCCTGCCTTTCTGGGGAGGGAGGGGGGGTCAAGATACATTTCCGCTTGAGGGATGAAGCCTGGAGAGAGGACATGGCCTTCAGGGCAGTCTGGCCTGCACAGTAGCGGTGACTTGTCCTCTTGTCTGATGACCCTTGAGCACTGGGACATTGTTCTCAGAAGACCTGTTTCTTGAAAATAGCTAGTGGGTCCCCATCCTGGAAAGCAAGGCTTTTAAAATGAAGACGGACCAGCCCTGGCTGGTTTGGCTTAGCAGTCGGAGCACTGGCCTGCGGACCAACGGTCTTGGGTGTGATGCCCTGTCAAGGGCACATGCCTGGGTTGCAGGTTTGAGCCCCCGCCCCAGTGGGGGTTGTGCAGGAGGCAACCAATCGATGTTTCTCTCCCTCTCTCCCTTCCACTCTATCCAAAAAGCAATGACAAAATATCCTCAGTTGAGGATTTTTTTAGAAAATGAAGATGAGCCAGACATGATATTGGCACCCAAGATGTCCTTTGAAGGCTCAACCATCCTAATGTTTTTCCCTTCTGATTAACGGGTAAATTTAAGACACCGGTCCTGCAGAAGTTATATGTGGTCGTGGTGAGCATGGGTTTTCAGCTGGATAAGGCTCGTTCGAACCCTGCCCACTCCCTTCACCACCACGGGCCATGCCATCCTGGGCAAGAATATCCCACCCCTCAAATCTCCACTTGCCCCTTGGAGGTAAGGATGACCAAAGTCTACCCAACTCATGGCCGTTTCATCTGCTGTGACCAGACCCCCACAGAGCGGCCGGCCCAAGCAGAGACCGGAGGGACGTGGATGCTGAGTGGCATTTCCACATCTGTCCACGAGATGTGGAGAAGATAAAGCAGGTATGTCCGGAGACAGCCTGCCTCCCAGCAAACACTTCCAGCCATCCTGGTAGTCTGGCTGCCTCCCATTCCTGGGTTCAGGAGATACCCCTTTGTCCTTGACATAAAGAACCCCCCTTTCCACCGTAGCTTTTTGCACTGTGCTTCCGTTGCTTACAACCACCGAACACCAAATACTGTGGCAGTGACGCGGACTAAGAGGCACCCTCTGGGCTGAGCCTCGTTCAGTGCCGAGAACCCAGTGCTGATTTGGGGAGCTGGGTTCCCCGTCTGGCTCCTCTTCAAGGTCTTCCATTCCCCTCGCTAGGTCTGGGATGCTTTAGAATTTGCCCAAATCTGGGTCTACGCCCCAGCCTGACCCCTGCCTGCCGGGTGACCTGGGCTTAGCCGCTCTCTGACTCTTGGTCTCCCCATGAGAATAACTACTACCTTAAAGAGTTGCTCCAAAACAATATATATGATATATGTAGTATATATAAAGAGCTAGCCCGACGCCTGGCAGGGAGCACAGGTCTGATCAATGGTTTTCTGCAATTATGACCTTCAGTTCATTTTCTACCTCGTGAAGTCTTTCTGCCATTACCAGCCGCATTACTTCTGCCCTATTTTGCACAAAAGCACTTTCATTTCCCCTCCCACACAGAAGTCCCCTTGCTCACTTCTTCAACACGGTGACTTGCCGTGTACATGTCAGAGGGCCCTGCTCACGCGTGCCAGGGCGGACAGTCCTCACCGACAGCGGTGCTTAACCAGCGTCCCCGGGGAAGGTTTCACAATGTCTGGTCTTCTCACTGGTCACGCGAGCCCCTTCCGACGTGGGCGTGGAGATGCTGGACGGACTCACCTGCCCAGAGTTGCTGCTGACCCTGGTCAGGCTCAGGTCAGCGTGCCCTGGGAGCCATTCCGGCAGCCAAGCCAGGGCAGAGGCTGCCAACCCTCTCGTCCAAGGCCAGTGCCAAGGCCATCACCCTCCTGCCTCTGGGCCCATGACCATCCTCAGCAATGGCTCAAAGGGTCTGAAGTAGCAGGAGCTGCTCTGTTTGAGAAATCCTGTGCTCACCGGGCCAACCGCCCCAGGGATAGCCTGTGTCACCTGTTTGAAAACTGACATCCAGCTCCGCAGGGGGGCTGAGGGCCTGGGAAGAGCCACGCCCAGGACGGGGACAAAGGGACACCAGCCAAGGCCACCCTCCTGCCCTTACAAGGCCAGCTGCAGAAGAAGCTGGGGTTTGTTTCGGAAAGAAAGGAGAAGGGGTCAGGTCATCGGCACTTCACCAATCTGAAAGCGCCCCCAAGGGTCCGTCCCTCTCTCCATCCTCTGGGTCCTTAGGGAGGGGGCGGATGGGATAGGGAGCAGCCACATTCCTTCCTCTTGACCCCAGATTTGAGAGTCAGGCCAACTACAGGCCACACAGTCTGGTTCAGGGTACAAGACAGAAGGGCTGCCTAATACCGGGTAAGGGAAGGAGAGGAGGAAGGATGGACCCGGATCCTCAGCAGGGACTCGAGGGCCCACGTTCACTGCTGGAGGCCCTGACTGGGGCACAGGCAGTCTGCCCCGGGGGTTACCATGACGCCCAGGGTGGGGCGCTGTCTGTCCTCTCGCACCTGTGGATGTGCTGTGATTAGTGATCACTGATTCCTTCAGAGTAGGGCCAGCAAATTACAGCCCATGGGCCAAATCTGGTCCACCTCCTGCTGTTTAGTCTTAATTTTTAGACGGTGGGAAAACACACCATGCTGACCATTCTGAAGGGTACAGGTCAGCGGCCCTGAGCACGGTCACAGTGCTGTGCAATCATCACCACCATCATCCCCAGACATCACCTTCCCACACGGAGGCACACTCGACACTTAGTCCCCATCCCCTCCCCCCGCAACTGCCATTCTCCTCCCTGTTGCCTTGAATTTACCACTCGAGGGATCTCATGAGTGGAATCACACAGTTTCATCTTTTAGTGACTGGCTTGTTTCACTCAACACGCCATCCTCACGGTTTACCCACATTGCCTCTGGGTGGCAACATCAGAATTCGCTTCCTTTTCAAGGCTGCATACTATTCCGTCACAGTACAGGACACTCTTGGCTTGTCTGTTCATCCACTCATGGACACTTGGGTTGTTTCCGCTTTTGACTATCGTGAATAATGCTGCTGCGAACATGGGTGGACAGAGGTTCGAGTCTCTGCTTTCAATCCTTTGGGGTATATATTCACCTCCTGTTTTTGTAAATAAAGCTTTATTGGCACAGAGCCATGCCCACTCATTCACCTGCTGGCCAAGGCTGCTTTCCTGCTACAATGGCAGGACTGGGTGCTCCAGACACCCCTGGCCCACAGGCCTGGAACATTCTGTCTGTGGACTTCACAGAAAACCTTTGCCAACCTGTGATCGAGAGAATTCGCTGCTAAGCATATTTTGGGGGTAGGAGGCCCACGGAAGTCTCTGATGTTGCACATGGCGTCTCTAAAGGTTGAGGACGACCAGTCCATACAGTGACTCTGCCCAGAAACACAGGTGCAGATGTAATGCCAAAGCCTACAGGTGGGCATCAGGCACGGGTCCGGGATCACCCTGGCACAAGGCCGGGAAGGATGAGGGGGTGGCGGTGCAGGGGGCACACGCACCTGGGTGCAGGTGGAAGCCCACCCAGTGACATCACCTCTGCCGGGTGAGGTGGCAACATTTATGACGTAGCTCGTTCCTCCTCCCCCGCCCGTCTAAGGTCCTCACCTGACCGACCAACTGCAGTTCTGCTCCTGGAGATCTCCGGGTGCCTTCATGAGGTATCTGGGCAAGATGGCGGGTCGGGAGGCCCCCACTCTGGGGTGGGGTCGCTCGTGGGATGCGGCCACTGGCCCAGTGAAACATGAGGGACACCTGGCCCCCCTCTGGCCCTGGCCCGCGATTGGAGCGTGGGAAAGAACCAGAGGTGGTCCCGCTTTACAGGTGGGGAGACGGAGGCCTGGGGAGGTTGTGCCAATGTTACCCTCAGAGCTCCCCATTCTGCCCACAGATGACATCCGATACCAGATGACACACAGGGACACAGAGCCAGATCGGGGTTACTCCTACATCTCTGGTACACCTGCAGGGTCACACTGCCAAGAGCCGGGACCCTCAGACGAGACAGGAAAGTGGGGGCTCGAGGTCATCTTCTGAGCAAGGAAACGCTCGTTTTCATCTGAAATCTATGTTGTCGCTCCTCAGGGTCCTGGCCACCCTGGGCTGCCGTCCCTTGGCCACGGCCTGGGAGCAGTCACGCCAGGCCTCGTCGGGCCCCTGGGGTCACCCCACGTGCTCCGCCCACTTCTCCCGCCGGTGTCTAGGCAGCCTGTGTGTGCACACCCAGGAGCGGTGACTGCGGCTGGTCCTGCTGGCTGGGGCCTGGCCACCTCCCAGCCCTTCCTTCCCATCTGCCTTACGAGGTGGGTGCTGTGATTATCCTCACGTTGCAGATGGGGAAACTGAGGCACGGAGTGGGTAAGTAACTTGTACCTATAGTTAGTAGTGCAGTCTGGACTCGAACTCAAGTTCACATTCTTCACCACCACGCCAGCCCCTGG